CCAAGTTTTAGTTTTACCCCCCCCCCCCCCCTTTTCCCTTCCCCTGAAAAACAAAAACCAAACTTGAAATGTCGCCCCTGATGAGCAGAGTCTATAGTAGCTGGTTTATCATTTTTATCTTGCATTTTTTTTGAACGAACGGATTTTTTAAAAGTCAATTATTATTGAAGTAGTGCAAAAAAAAAAACAAACAAACAAAAATCAGTTTAAACTAAAAATAATAAAACAACATTACTTTTTTAGTTACAAATAAAAAATAATAAATGGTTTGTATTAATACCATCAGGCCAAGAAGCTATATTTCCACAGGTTCTTGACAGACATTTGGCTCTTAAAAATTATTTAATCGTCCTGCTGTTGATTTTTTGGCTCTTTTGACTGATTAGTTTGCCTACCACTGGTCTAGTGTAAGAGAGGTCAATAAATAAAAGAAAGGGACAAGGCAGACTGAGTTAAAAGTTAAATTTTTAAACATAAAATAACCACACAACAAATTATTAGATTACTACGCTGTTGTCTGATATTTAATCTTAAAAGGTTAAAAGACTAGGTTATTATTTTTTACTATCAAAGTGACCAAAACAGTTGGCGACATGATAAACGGGACCTACCATACAGACTGGGCCTGCCATACAGACTTGGCCTGCCAAAAAGACTTGGCCTGCCATACAGACTGGGCCTACCATACAGACTTGGCCTGCCATACAGACTTGGCCTAACATACAGACTGGGCGTAACATACAGACTTGGCCTGCCATACAGACTAGGCCTGCCATACAGAATGGGCCTGCCATACAGACTTGGACTGTCATACAGACTTGGCCGGCCATACGGACTTGGGCTGCCATACAAACTGGGCCTACCATACAGACTTGGCCTGCCATACAGACTGGGCCTGCCATACAGACTGGGCCTGCCATACAGACTGGGCCTGCCATACAGACTGGGCCTACCATACAGACTGGGCCTGCCATACAGACTTGGCCTGCCATACAGACTGGGCCTGCCATACAGACTGGGACTGCCATACAGACTTGGCCTGCCATACAGACTGGGCCTAACATACAGACTGGGCCTACCATACAGACTTGGCCTGCCATACAGACTGGCCCTGCCATACAGAATGGGAATGCCATACAGACTTGGCCTGTCATACAGACTTGGCCGGCAATACAGGCTGGGCCTGCCATACAGAATGGGCCTGCCATACAGACTTGGCCTGTCATACAGACTTGGCCGGCCATACAGACTGGGCCTGCCATGCCAACAATTGGCTTCGAGTAAAAAAACTAACATTTTAGAAGGTAAAAATAGATCATAACTTGAGCCATTAAAAAACAGAGATTTAGTTAAAAAGTAAAAAGAACATTTATAGCTTGCTCTACTATTTAAAACAACGATTGAGTTAAAGGTTTAAATAACATTCATAGCCTGCTCTACTGTGTAAAACAGAGATTTAGTCAAAACATTAAAACAACATTCATCGCTTGCTCTACGATTTAAAACAATGATTGAGTTAAAAAGTTAAAAGAACATTCACTGCCAACTCTCCTGTGTACAATATATCAATCAAAGGGATTTGTTAACTGAGTTGTATCGTAGGCCACTCTACAACCAAAACAGAACGTTTCCGACGACTTCGTATAGTTTCAGTTGATACTGTCGTAACGAAACATTTGAACATTCATTTAGCATAATATTAACATGCATTTTTATTTATTTTTTAAATTTAATTTGCAGCTTCGAAATAAATTGAATTACTAGATGAATCGTCCGAGGAAAGATTTATAAAATACCTTTACAACGTATATATATATATATACCCCATTATGGTTTTCAATATTTAATCTTAGTTCAGATTTGGCTCGTAGAACTTACAGCGGGACTGAAAACCAGTTTACAAATTAAAAACGATACCAAGGCCAGTGATGCAAACAAAATTTAATTTATTTATATTATTACATTTATGTATAAATTCAAATTCGAATGCAGAAACAATAAACTATATCAACCTACAGCACCACAGGTGAAAAAAAATGAACACTCCTAAATATAACACACAATTAAATGAAGTCTCGTGTAGCGAAAATCTTTCTATCGCTCACTCTACTACAAAACCTGACAGCCTATCAATAAGGGGATTAATTCAAAATGTTCTTGGAAAGAAATGCTAGAAATTGCGGCACCTGATGGCATTCTTTACAACAAATAGAACGCATTCGAACGTAAACAGACTTTTCCCAACCAAGGGACGGACGGGCATGGAAAGAGTAGCACTGCACATTTACTCGGTGACTTCAATGTCAATGTCATGGTAAGGGAGAAAATTGGTGTGGTGGTGGTTAAAAAAAGCTCAACACATATGCCATACTAGGCTATACTTTAACAATTGTTACTAATGTATCACCAAAATGTGTTGCAAGGAAAAAATACGTGTATAAATAATTGTAAATAAAATGAAAAGCCTTCTGCAAAATGTAAACTAAATATAATTAGCATCCAAACAAAAAGAAGGCGGAAGTCAATGAAAACTTTTGGAGGATTTCCACCGCCACTTTTGCTGGAAAAAAAAACACAAGCAACGAAAAATATAGTCACGTCTTTCATAGTTTCAGATCTCTTCTGATCATCAGAGCTAAGATCAAAATAATCCTATCTGGCCATGGTAAGGATCAATCAATTTAAGCTTTACATGTATACTTTCACCCCCTGACGAGAGCGCCGCTGTATATATTGTGCGGATTGGGTCTCGCTCTATGTCTAACTCTACTGTGTCGGTGTCAGTGGGGTTGGTGACCTACATTACTGGTATTATTGGTTTCTCCGTCTTTCCGTTTCCTTCCTTTGTGTGGCATCATCGTCTGCTCTCTTTGACTGAAGATTTGAAACACTGGTTATCAACCTTCCTGATGCCGCGACCCTTTAACACGGTGTCTCATGGTGTGGCGACCCTCAGCCACAAAATTTTGTTCGTTGCTACTTCATAACTGTAGAGAATATGTGTTTTCAGATGGGCTAAGGCGACCCCCCTTGGCAAAGGGTAGTGCGACCCCCGAAGGGGTCGCGACCCACAGGCTGAGAACCGCTGATGTAAAATGTTCCCAGCGGGTGGCCACATGTTTGCTTGATGTGGGGGTGGTGTATTGGTTGATAATATGTTGTATTGTTCCTAGTTATGCTTGTTTTTATAAGTAAGCGTTATTTTAAAGTTCCGATGAGGAGAGCATCCCGTTTGGTTTTTCATCCAATTTGCGTAAGTAAAATTGTACGTCTCTATAATGTACTGTAGGATTTTTATCTATTTTCACCAAGTTGAGTTCATAGACCTACCAAATCTTAAGTTGCTGGTCCGCAAACCAAAGATTGCCGGTCCGCAAACCTTAGAATGCCGGTACACAAAAATATATATATATATTGTGGAGAGTTCGGCGGGGGGCGTCTGACTAGGGATTAACGGCCGTCTGACACCGTCTGACAGGTACAGCCGGCGCCATCTGACCAGGGCATTTACCTGGGACGTCTAGACCTGGCGCCTGGACGGGGAGGTATAAATAGGGATCTCTGGACGGGACGAAGGAGAGCGCGGCCGGATGGTTAGAAGAGAAGGCGGCCGGACTGAGAACTAGATAGCAGGGAGAAGTCAGAGTTGTGAAATGAGAGAAAGAGTAAGCAAGGTGACAGCCAAATAAAGAACACGAGTTTAATCATCAAATGTATCACCGGAGTTGTTCCCTTATTGAGTACCAGATCTAGATGAAGTTTGTCAGAGAGTAAGCAAGGTTTCCTTACAATATTTAAAAATATGCATTTTTAAATAACCCTAAGTAAAATAAAGTGGTTTGAAAGTTTGCCTTCTGTCCATGGTACAATGCAAAAATTGCTAACCTTAGTGTCGGCAAGACTTCATATTCTTGGAAAAACTAATCTTTAAGAGAAAATAAAATGTTATTTTGAATGAAACGTTTTTGGTAAGAACTGCAGTAGGCGAATCTTGAATCTATAACCTGTAATCTGTAGACACAGTTTGTAAAATGATTTATTTTTAATTAAATCTTTTGACACAAATTTAATGTGGGTCCCCAAGGCAAGTGCTGAAACGTAGGTGTATGATTATATGGGTCCCAGGGCAAGTGCTGACACTTAGATGTATAATTATGTGGATCCCGGGGAAAGTGCTGAAACTCAGGTGTATGATTATGTGGGACCCAAGCAAGTGCTGAAAATTAGGTGTATGATTACGTGGGTCCCAGCTTGTGCTGAAACTTAGGTGTATGATTATGTGGGTCCCCAGGGAGAGTCCTGAAACCCAGGTGTATGATTATGTGGGTCCCTGGGACAAGTGCTTCAACTCAGGTGTATGATTATGTGGGTCGCCGGGACAAGTGCTTCAACTCAGGTGTATGATTATGTGAGTCGCCGGGGCAATTGCTGAAACTTAGGTGTATGATTTTGATCATATTTTATAATCTGGGAAAATTTGAAAACAATCTGAGGGGCAAAACTAATCATGAAATGATGTGTCAGATATCAGGTAAACATTTTATGACTTGTTACATCAAGCAATGGGACAGGTGTCACGCCATTACTTTCAGGTAATATGACAGGTAAACATGTCACGCTTGCAGTGATGTATTTTGTGACCCCAGCAAGCAAGATAACAAAGGCGATACTTGCGAATTCAGGTAACGACTGGGAATGACACATTTTTAGCATCGATCCTATCAATATTAATTTTCAATCTTAGCGTATCTTAAATAATTCTTATAAGAATAGCCATCGTCTGCAATAGCATTACTGTCATCTGGTAGAAATACTGGAGTCTGTTAAAATCTCCGCCGTCTGCTAGCACCACCGGCGTCTGGTAGAAATAATGGAATCTACTAAGAGCAGGGGTCGGCAACCTGCGGCTCGCGAGCCGCATGTGGCTCTTTTGATGTCAAGATGCGGCTCTCCAGTTCCATGCGCAAATATTAATAATTATATTGAGATACAAAATTTAGTGGCTTTTTAAAAACTGGGAAATTGTGTAAATTGTCATTTTTGGCTCTTCCGTCTCAAAAGGTTGCCGACCCCTGTACTAGAGTCATTGCCGCCTCCTAGCAGCACAGCAGAGACTTCTTGTAGAACCGCACCATTGTTGCCAGAAAGTATGAATCATCATCATCATCGCCTGTCGTCCCGTCTGGGGCATAGGCCACAAACAAAGGCTCTCCAGGCATCCCGGTCTTGGGCAAGTCTCTCCAACTGTCCCCAGTTGTGCCCACTCTTTTTGATGTCTGCCTCCAGTTCCCTTCTCCAAGTTGTTTTGGGTCGACCTCTTTTTCTCTTACCCTGGGGGTTCCAAGTCAGGGCTTGTCTCGTGATAGAAAGTATGAATACCTTCATATAAAATCGCTGTCTGACGATTCCTCAGAGCTGGACATATCGTGAAACATTCCTAGCAAAAAATGATCTCCCTCGGTAAAGTCATCACCACGGTTTTGATTCTTCTGTAAGATCATTATCAAACCAGGATCATCTGCACCTTCGTTATCCAGTTGCACGCTGGTGACCTCTTCCCCTCTGAACAAGAGTTTGTCTTGGAAAAGTTTCGGCAACTGTGTCCTTTCCGCTCGCTGCCGTCTATCGTTTTCGGGCCCTATAAACGAAGACACGGAGATGAAGGATAACGTCTCCAGAGACAATGGTGTAGAAGATGTTTCCTTAAGCAGTTCCAGGCATTTGTAGTATGCTGCACGAGTAAGATAACGGATGACTTTCTTATTGCCCGAGATGAGTGAAATGTCCGATATGGTCAGGTACGAATGTTTCAGAAAGAACCGAACCAATTCATATTTACCCAAGAGTAGCGCCACACCTAAGGGTGACACTCGCTCTTTAGATGAATACCAGCCTTTTATTTTTCGTTTGATTTCAACATCGGCCGGCCCTAACCCCAACGCTATAAGTTTCTGTGCGTACGCCTCTTTACCCACCGCAATCAAATGATGAATCGACACAGCGGGAACACAGAGCACGTTAGCATCGTGTTTAAAAAGTAATTTGACACATTTACAAACACGGTCCGGGAAGTGTAGCACTTTGTCTAGAGCAAGTGAAAGTGCCGATTTACGACTATCGTCCAGAGTCTGGACGTTCACATTGGCCCCAGCTTCGATGAGAGCCTTCATTGCTTGTTTATTCATCTTTCTGGTGGCAGTCATCAGTGCAGTATACCCTTTGTTGTTATGATGATTCACATCCCCTTGGGCTCGTAATAATATATGTATCATAGGAGACATGTGCAATGTAGTTGATAACAACCTTATCAAAGGCGTGTCTCCTTCACAGTCAGCCATGTTTAGATCAGCTCCGTTCTCAATTAACAAGTTTAGCATGGCAGTGTCTAATGAATCCACGGCCACGTGAACAGCTGTTTTTTCCGTCTTGTGACATCTTAAGTTGATGTCGCAGCCGTGCTGAATAAGGACCTCAGCGTTCTCTTTCCTGCCTTCTTTAACCGCTAAATAAAGAGAAGATCTGCCCTTGTGATCAACCCGTTCTACTTGGGCGCCCGCTTCCAGGAGTAAGCGGATGACAACCTTTGTTCCAACTTTCTGGGCAGCAACCATGAGTGGAGATTGACCCAAGGCATTTAACGCATCTGGCGCTGATCCATTCTCCAACAGTGCCCTTGCGCATTCATCCCGGTAAATGTAGCAGCTGACATCATCGCAAACGTTTGAGCCTTTAAGACGCAGACATCTTTTCACCAGTTCCAAGTAACCTGGTGTGAGTATTTGAAAGAGAGCTGTGGGCTGGAGCGGGCTGTCGGTGAACTCAAACATGACGTTTGCTCCGCGCTGGATCAGGAGTCGGAAGACTGAAAAATTGCCAGCCTTGACCAGAGGGATCATTCCTCCCGAGACGAGGTTTACGTCTGCGCCCAAGTCGAGCAGGAAATTGATGACGTCTTTGTTGCCCGTCTCAGCGGCAATGTGAAGTAGGTCGGACGTCGGGCTGGTGATCGCATCACGACAAGGTGATGAATAACGCTCTAGCAGTAATACTATGGATTTCATCTGCTGATGTCTAACACACGTTCTCAGGGCCGATTTGATGTCTAAATATGCATGATTGGAAAGTAATATTCTCACACACTCCACTCGCCCGTGCTCTAAAGCAGCTTCAAGGGCGGATCCAATGAACTGATGAACCCCGTTTCGGGTGCGATAATTCAATTCAGCTTTGAAATGTATGAACATTTTCATGATATCTGCTGACCCTTTACTGGCTGCTGTCACGACTGCTTTCCTTGTAATCCTAGCACCGTTTTTGCACAAAAGTTCAACCACAGAAACATTTCCTATGGATGTTGCTATACTTATGGGCGACACTTCATCCCCATCCTCTTGATTTATGTTCCCTCCGGCCTCTAATAGTTTTGTCACTATTTTTATTTCAATATCGCTGATAGCACATCTCTTGTCTAGGATGGACTTTAAGAAACTGCTTAGTAGATGACAGTCATCGCTGCTTGTTGTTTCGTTAAATGTATTGAATTGGCAATCCACCAAGAACTTTACTGCGTCCAGATTACGCTGAAACACGGCTCTGCGTAACGAATTTCCGGGATCTTCTCCGTGATCTTTCAGCAACTTGATAATGTCTCCCAGGCCTAGTCTATCTGCGATGCTTTGAGCAGTCTCCGGTGTGCTTTGAACAGGACCCGAAGCCTGCAGTGGCGATAGACCGACTGGGGGTGAAGTGTTATCCAAGCAAGCACCAGCATCTAACAGCATCTTCACAATGTCCAGATCGTGCTCCTCCACGGCTCGCATCAGCGCTGTGTGACCAGAGTTGTTCCGATGGTTCACATCTATGCCTGGCTGGTCAAGGAGAAGCTTGACCACGTGACTCGAACCATGATTCGGGAAAGACAGAATCAACGCCGTGTCCCCGGAAACGGTGGTGGCATTGACGTCGGCCTTGGCATCGAGGAGCATCCGTGTAATCTCGTGACAGCGATTCATCGCCGAGACGTGCAAAGGTGTGTAGCTCTCTCCATTTGATGTGTTGACATCCGCCCTGCTTGTTATAAGGACGTTTGCAATTCCGCTGAAACCTTTTAGTGCGGAGAGAATCAGGGGCGTGTTTCCGTGGTCGTCTGCAGCATTCAGTGATGCTCCGGCTTTGATCAGATATTGCACGGTGAGCTTCCATCCCGCGTTGCAAGCTGCCAGTAAGCAATGGTCCAATGCCCACTGAGAAAACGTAACGCTCTTGTCTATGGCCTGTTGAATGATGTTGTGCACAGCCTGCCCGTCCCCGGACGTGACAGCCTCCACGAGAACTCTATCATTTCTGTCTGCGTTAGTTTGTATGTCCTCCATTCTTAACAGACGAGTGCGTTGGTAAAACCTGAAAGCAGTTTTATTCACTGTTTGAATAATCAAATATTTGTTGCTAGTCTCTGTATTGAACGCTATTTTCTCTGTAGAAGAAGTAAAACAAAGTTTCTTGATTTTGATTTTTTTTTTAAATTTTGAAAGTCTAAGGATAGTAACACAACGCTGTCGTTGCACAGCCGTAGCCTACATATCAGATCTTTCCTATTTGAAATACAATTATTATTGTAAGAACTCTAGTAAAAATTTACACGCAGAACTAGCTGAAAGATAAACACACAGTTAGTGAAACGTAGACATACAGTTAGTGAAACGCAGACACACAGTTAGTGAAACGTAGACATACAGTTAGTGAAACGTAGACACACAGTTAGTGAAACGTAGACACACAGTTAGTGAAACGTAGACACACATTTAGTGAAATATAGGCACATAGTTAGTGAAACATAGACACAAAGTTAGTGAAACATAGACACCAATTTAGTGAAACATAGACACACAGTTAGTGAAACATAGACACAAATTTAGTGAAACATAGACACACAGTTAGTGAAACATAGACACAAATTTAGTGAAACATAGACACACAGTTAGTGAAACATAGACACGCAACGATATCTGATTTTTCACAACAAAAACATTCAAGATAGATCAACTCATTTAACTCGTCCACTATTTTTATTGGTATTCTATTCTGTTACATCAATGTGGATTTAGAAATGATTTCACCCGATGACTTCTTTAGAATCACACACCAGTACAACGTGTCTTAGTTTAGTGCGTACAGTGATACGGCATACAGAGTGAGCATATCTCTTCATGTCATGATATACACAGACAACATGAGAAGTGAGTACATAATAATCATTTCGTGACCCGAAATACACGTGCAACATAAGTGTACAATTAGTTAAGTCAAATATAAAAATGAAATCCAAATATTCATGCACGCTAAGGTGTGTCACAAATTAGAAAGCCCTTGGCCACAAATAAGATAGACCTGTGCCATATTGAGACAGTTCTGGGGCACGAATGAGAAAGCTCTAGACCACACATGAGAAAGCCCTCGGCCACACATGAGAAAGCCCTAGGTCATGAATGAGAAAGCCCTGGGCCATAAATGAGAAAGCCCTGGGCCACACATGAGAAAGCCCTAAGCCATGAATGAGAAAGCCCTTGGCCATACATGAATATAAATGAAAGGACTGCTTTCAAGCTTAGTAAATGAATGAAATAGCGAAACGAGGTATGTGGAAGCTTGAAATAAGATAACAGGACAAAAAAACAAGGACGTTTCGGCATAAAGCCTTCCTCAGCCAACAGTAGAAATGAGAAAGCCCTGGGCCACACATGTGAAAGCCATAGGCCATGAATGAGAAAGCCCTGGGCCATACATGAAAAAGCCCTAGGCCATGAATGAGAAAGCCCTGGGCCACGACTGAGAAAGACCTGAGCTTTTAACTCCAGAGCTGATACCGCTCGTGGCAAAATAATAGACCTTTATAAGATAGCGGAGCCATGTTGAAAAAATAAATCTATTAGGTCACATCAGCTGCACTTAATATTAATTGTGCGTATCATTGGATAGCGGTGACAATGGCATGCATCAAAATATTATAAAACAAATGATTTGCTCTAGTCCTATAGCAATGGAGCTTCTAGTGTAAACCATTGTTCTATATTAGACTGAACTCCAGTTATACAATTGGTCTATATTTGACTATACTCAGATTATTAACAATTGTTCTGTTTTATAACAGGCCAATACATGAGAGGACAGTTACTGTTCTATATTATAGCAGTCGTACACTTCTAGTAATAACAAAATCTACATGATGCTATATTCAGGTCCTAAACTTAGTGTTTTATCTAATAACAAGTCAAGAACTGACCTATCTCTTCAGCATGATCTAAGTGGACCTTCTGTGCTACCCAATAACACATTCAAAATCAATGCAAAGCTCATAGTGTTTTTGTTTCAGTTTCATTATTGGCTCAACATGGGAAATAGTTTTTTACTACGCAATTAAATAGTTAGGATTGCATGGGATTTATTCTCATATTTACATCCTGTACTACGCTTGGCTTAGGATAGCATAGCCACAAAAGGCCTTTTGTGCTATGAATAGACATCGTAAACAACGTTAAAGTTTTATGCATTTGTCAGTCTGGTTTGGTGTCAGCTGGGTGAGTCAGGGCAAGAAAATAAGACAATAAGACAGGCTGGTTTAGTGTCAACTGAGTGTGTCAGGACAAGAAAATAAGACTGGCTGGGTTTAGTGTCAGCTGAGTGTGTCAGGACAAGAAAATAAGACAGGCTGTTTTAGTGTCCGCTGAGTGTTTCGGGACAAGAAAATAAGACAGGCTGGTTTAGTGTCAGCTGCGTGTGTCAGGACAAGACAAAAAGACAGGCTGGTTTAGTGTCAGCTGTTTGTGTCAGGACAAGAAAATAATACAATAAGACAGGCTGGTTTGGTGTCAGCTGAGTGTGTCAGGACAAGAAAATAAGACTGGCTGGTTTAGTGTCAGCTGAGTGTGTCAGGACAAGAAAATAAGACTGGCTGGTTTAGTGTCAGCTGAGTCTGTCAGGACAAGACAAAAAGACAGGCTGGTTTAGTGTCAGCTGAGTGTGTCAGGACAAGACAAAAAGACAGGCTGGTTTAGTGTCAGCTGCGTGAGTCAAGACACGACAATAAGACTGGCTGGTTTAGTGTCAGCTGAGTGTGTCAGGACAAGAAAATAAGACTGGCTGGGTTTAGTGTCAGCTGAGTGTGTCAGGACAAGAAAATAAGACTGGCTGGGTTTAGTGTCAGCTGAGTGTGTCAGGACAAGAAAATAAGACATGCTGTTTTAGTGTCAGCTGAGTGTGTCAGGACAAGAAAATAAGACAGGCTGGTTTAGTGTCAGCTGCGTGTGTCAGGACAAGACAAAAAGACAGGCTGGTTTAGTGTCAGCTGAGTGTGTCAGGACAAGAAAATAAGACTGGCTGGGTTTAGTGTCAGCTGAGTGTGTCAGGACAAGAAAATAAGACAGGCTGTTTTAGTGTCCGCTGAGTGTTTCGGGACAAGAAAATAAGACAGGCTGGTTTAGTGTCAGCTGCGTGTGTCAGGACAAGACAAAAAGACAGGCTGGTTTAGTGTCAGCTGTTTGTGTCAGGACAAGAAAATAATACAATAAGACAGGCTGGTTTGGTGTCAGCTGAGTGTGTCAGGACAAGAAAATAAGACTGGCTGGTTTAGTGTCAGCTGAGTGTGTCAGGACAAGAAAATAAGACTGGCTGGTTTAGTGTCAGCTGTTTGTGTCAGGACAAGAAAATAATACAATAAGACATGCTGGTTTAGTGTCAG